TGCAAAACTTGACCAAGCCATACCCCAACTTGCATCTCATGTGATGTTTTCCAGGACAATCACAGCTCGCAAATTGGCTGGGCCGGTCAGCGCGCGCATTTTTTCACAAAACCCCCTGCCGTTTCCCTGAATCAACCCGCAGTCACCCCCACCTGAATTAAATCTGTCGGGATTGATCAGATTGATCTGAATGAAGTAGCCCATTGCTCCTTTTTGAAATATTTTGTCAGCCTGTTCTGGAGTACAAGTCTGGTCAATATTACTGCCAGTGTAATCCCTTATAAGAAAGGGTTTTTTTCTCCAGTTAATGACTATTGTCCTTAGGATGAAATCCATGCAAATAGGAATGAATTCTTTGAGCCAATCAGCCCCCAATATAATGTCATAAGTCTGGAGTGGTAGAACTTTTAAAGTGTTTTTGAATGGCTCGCCAGCAATAGTATATGGGCAGTCGGGAACTACACTGTCAGACAATAGTTGTCCACCGCCTGCTACTGATACTTTGCTAATAGTGGTGGGAGTCAAAGAGAAATTGCAGTCCACTGCACACTTATAATCTATAAAGGTGTGAGAAGAGCCACTGTCAACCAGAGCTACAGCTCTTTTTCCAGCAATGTTAAGTATAATGCATAGAGTAGCAGGGCCAGGTGTTCCTTGTGCAGCATGGATAGAGATCTGACAGCATTGCTCTATAGGTGCTTCTTTATCTGGGGTATTTGGTGCAATATGATACTGAACTTCAGGCTGTTGATGTTCATCAATTGGAGTCTCAACAGTTTCTCCCTCCACTTCTTGTAATATGTGTATGGTCTTCCCTATTCCACATTTATGTTGTCTATTCCATGGTTCTCGACAGTACCAGCAGAGATTAGGGGCTTGTGTGGCTTTTGTGGCAGTACTTCTGTCAGTAGTTTGTATTTGCAGTTGAGGAGGTCTGTGAGAATTTACGTAAGTGGTGTACTGTCTTGGCCTAGATGTCTGTGGTAGGGTTTGTAGCCTAGCATTTGCAGCCTTTTCATAGACTTTAGCATACCAGTAAGCTTCCATGATCCCCGTTGGTCTTTGACCACACACTTCATGCTTAATATCTGATTTCAGACCTCCAATAAAACAGCTCATGAGAAAATTCTCCTGCAAAAATGGATGGTCTCTTTTTACTAAGGCCGCACACTCCTCAAACTTGTTGATGTATTCACTGACAGTTGTTGTTTGTTGTACATTTTTCAAGTTTTCCACTGCTTCATGAACACTGGCTTCAGTAAATCTATCAGCAAGTATCTGACAAAACTGCTGCCATGTGACCATTTGCCAAGGTACACGGATGTTTTTGACCCATACTGACGCTTTGCCTTGAAAATGTCCAGTGGCTAAGTTGACCCATCGATCATATGGAGTGCCTGTCATGTCAAAGAATTTTTCACAAGAAATCAGCCACTCAATTAGGTCATGTTCCATCAAAGAGAGGGATTTCCAGTCTGGGGCCTTTAAGTGTGGCTTCAGCATAATAAGAGGGGCCACCTAATTGAGTAGCTATATGATTTCTCTGGTTGTCAAACAGTTGAACTCCAGCATGATATATGAAAGGTGGAGTTGTTCTATTTGTTGCAGTGTTGATATACTGTCCAGTAATGTGATTGTATGTTGGTTGAGCCACATATGGAGCTAACACTGGGGCAAAGTAGCCAGTGTTGCCAGTAGGTGCCATAGGTGGGGGTTGACCATTAAGCAGTACATTTGGTAGTCCAGCTGGGGCAACCGTCCCCTGTACACTCGGTCTGAAAGGTGGTACTGATCCTTGAGTGTTTGCAGATGTGGTATGATCAATGGTGCTATCTGTGTAGATGGCCGAACAGCTTGGAATAAACTGAGTAGTGGTATGTGGCATCTCAGTTAGCGATGGCATTTGTACTGACTGTTGAGAACTGCTTGTAGTCAGACTGGATTTTGCAAAAGCATTCATCAAATTTACTTGGGAGACCTGCATAACTGAACCGTCCAGTAGTGATTACATTGGTTCGCGTGTTTAAGCCAAACTAAGCTTTTATCTGGACCGTCCAGTAGTGATTACCCGCTCTGCTATCCACCGGAGGATAACTGACGAAGTGGTATCTTCAGTCTTCGTCAGTTAGACACTTGCTGCAGATTTCTTCAGACTCCTTTAGGTTCTTTAGGTCCTGACATATAACCTGAGGTGACTGTGGGTTGATTCAGGAAAACGGCAGGGGGTTTTGTGAAAAAATGCGTGCGCTGACCGGCCCAGCCAATTGGCGAGCTGTGATTTGCCTGGGACTAAAACATCACATGAGATGCAAGTTGGGGTATGGCTTGATCAAGTTTTGCAACTTTAGGACTAGATCATCATATTATGTGCAAGTTAAGGTACCTGATGCTATTACCTCACACAAGTCGTGTGTGTAGCAGCGCTCGCAGAAAAAAACGATTTTTTTAAATGCTTTTTTTCGAAAAGGGGGTTTACCTCAGCCTCTGCATCAGAAAAATGCATACGGCTTATATTATTAAAAATAAAGTCCAATAACAAAAGCGCAAGTACCGAGGTGCGAAAAGGGGGATTTTTTTGAATGCTGCCGCCTCCCTCCCTTCCGGTGGCGCCGAACCCCGCCGCCGTGCTCCACGCCGCGCTCCTCAGGTCCTCCCCTTCCCGCCTCCCTTCCCGCCTCTCCTTCAACTCCCTGCTCGCCGCCGCCTCCACCTCCTCGCACCCCCGCCTCCGCTCCCTCGCCCTCCCGGCCCTCGCGCTCGCGCACCGCTGCCCCGCCGCCGCCGGCCCGCTCGACTCCTACGCGCTCTGCTCCGCGCTCCGCCACGCCTCCGCGGCCCAGGTGGGGCCCCTCCACGCGCTCGCCGCGAGGTCCGGGTGGCTCGGCAGCGTCTTCGTGTCCTGCGCGCTCGCCGCGTCCTACGGCGGGTCCGGCCTGTTCCTGGACGCCCGCAGGCTGTTCGACGAAAGCCCCGTCAGGAATGGCGTCTTCGGGAACGCCGTTCTCGCGGCCTACGTGGGCGCGGGGAAGTGGGCTCCAGCTCTGGAGTTCACGAGGAGGTTTCCGGAGTTCGGGCTCCCGGCTGACGGGTACACGATGACGGCCGTGGTGAGGGCCTGCGGAGAGACGGCGAATGCTGATCTGGGAGGAGAGGCGCACGGGCATGCGATCAGGAGGGTAAGAGGTGTGGGATCCGACGTGTTCCTGATCAGCGCGCTTGTGGACATGTACGCCAAATGCGGGCTCGTTGGACACGCGGAGCGGGTGTTCAGGTTGGCGCTGCGGGCCAATGCTGGTGGAGATGATGTTGTTCTATGGACGGCGATGCTGAACGCTTATGGGCGGCATGGGCAGTGCAAGGAGGTTATCCAGACTTATGACCAGATGGTGGCTTCCGGGGTCTGGCCTGACGATCTGGCTATTCTGGCCGTGCTCTCAGCATGCCAGCATGCTGGGGAGGTTGCCAAGGGGCTCAAGTATTTCGAGTCTATGCGCGCAGATTACGGGCTGGTGCCTACACCAGAGCACTACGGTTGTGTAGTCAACATGCTATGCCGGGCAGGAGAAGTAGCCAGGGCATGTGAGATCGCTACCAGGGAGGAATGTGGAGGTAATATTGGCGTCTCTACATGGGGTGCTCTTCTTAGTGCTTGCTGTGATTGCCGCAATGTTGAGCTCGGGAGACTGGCAGCTCGGAAGGCAATTGAACTGGAGCCTAGGAATGTTGGGATTTATGTCGAGCTGTCAAATTTATATGCGAATGCTGGCTTGTGGGAGGAGATTAACAAGCTGCGGGAGGTAATGAAGGACAGGGGTTTCGAAAAGGATGTCGGGTCTACCTGGGTTGAGCAGAATTCTTGAAATGACCTACAAAAATTCTAAATGTTTCATGGGCCAAAATATGATTTGATCATTATGATTGGAGTGAAGGGTGGGAATCTGATCTTTTTTTATGGGCTGCCACCAGATCTATGAGAAAACCAAGTGTTATTTTTTGCTGGATCACAATATTTGAAGTGTAATCTTGCTGAGGCACAAGATCATCGGGTGAAAATTAAGGTGAGCCCAGTCGTGTCCATGTTTTTGCATGGCCTAGGTCACCTAAGGTTTATAACTCTGCAAGAATGAACATAAAATGATATGATACCGTCATTGAACAGTGACAAGCAGGCGATGCAATGCATTTTTGACATTCTTCCATGAGCTCTTCTGAGTTCTGACAGAAAATGTCTATGTATATATTGGTAATAGTCTGTTTTTTTGCAGTACAACGACTTGTATCAAAACTGAAATTTACTAAAGTGCCCGATCCATCTTCTAATTCAAGTGTCTACAGCTGTGTGCTGTTTCTTGGAACTCAGAACATAAACAGATGGTCTCTAAAAGACATAAAAGGGAAACAGCAGTAGGAATCTCTCCTTTATGAGCTAAAGCATGGTTATTCAATTCGTCTTATGCAAGCAAAAGCATATACATGTGCCGGAAAGCACGTCTAGCATCATCCTTCTAGCTCAGCTCCATTTTCTGCTAAGAAGCAATGTTAGAAGTTAGAATGGTCTAAAAACTACACTACCATAACTTGAGCTTTTGAAGTTTGGCACCTCATTAACCTCAATGTATAGAAGAGTTGGCTCTTATTTCGCAGCCACACATTCTTTCAGTGGTCGGGAGGCCTAAGTTACCTGGTAAATTATGTGCAGAACATTCTTTAGGTGGTAAGAGAAACTAGACCTTGACCCTTATTGCAGAAACCCAACTAGCAACTGAGTTTGTAGGTTTTCCCTCGAATAATTCCTGCAGCTCAAGAACCAGGCCAGCTCTAACTTCACTCCCAGGGCAGGAATCAACCAGAAAGGGCAGAAAGAGAACTTGTAGGACAAAAAGGGAAGAAAGGAATGCATTCCAAGCTTGCATTCCCTTAGTTCTCTGCGACTATATAAACACTCGAGTTCCCTTGATGGGTCTATCCTAAAAATCTCTGTCCTCTTGCCTGCACCAATAATGGGTCTTCCCTTCAGTGCGTTAAACAAATTAGGTAAGTTCTCAAGTCTCAGTTCTTTCTATGGTTTTGTTTTGTTCTATATGCCGGTGCCATTACATGGTTCTTGTGGCTCCGCACTGTTTTATCTGTTGCTGGAACTTCTGCTCCATATTCTAAATTTGTTAGCTTGTGCTGTCGTTCTTCTCAGGAGTGCCAGGGTTGGGCGCAATAACAACCGGACAAGTTTATGATCGACATTTTAAGGACAGGGACACGGGCACCTTTAAAGACTTTCATCTTGCATATGTCGAATTCTGCAAGTAAGCTTCCTTCCTGTTTGTGCAGTTATGTTGCTTGCACTTCTTGTGCCCAACCTTTTATGCCTGTCTTCATCTGAAAATGCTTTAGGTATTTCAACACTGTGTTGCCTGGCCAAGATTTTGATACTCCGGACCGTGGTGATCTAGAGGTAAACCCGATTCGGTGTAAATATTTATGGACATCTGGCAATTGACTGTTACATATGGTCCAAAAACTCAACTGAACATGGTACATGCGCATATTGCAGGCATTCCATAAAAAATGGGCAGTGGCGGACGAGCCCGGAAGGAGGAAGATGTTCATCGAGTATATGCAGGAAAACGTCCACGAGGCCAAAGTTGACGACAGCCTCTTCATCATGGCCGGCCTGGCTGCGCCAGCGGCAGCCATCATCGCCAAGAAGAGCGGCGAGAGCATCCCGCAGGTCAAGAAGTTCAAGGTGCATCTAATCCCCAACGTCATCTTTGTGCCGGTGTGCACGCTGGTTGCCATCATGGGTGCCACTGCAGTTCAGATGAGCAAGAAGAGCAAAGACAACAACAAGCCTACGAGCTGATCCCGTCTTGTTCCTGTCTGCAGTTTAAATAAGATGATGTAATAAACAAGAAACCTGGAAGCATATTATCATCCAAATGATTGTATAAAATTATACTAATATGCAAGTCATGGGTTAAATATACATGTTCCTTTTGTTGTTCAAATAGCCAATGGAAAGAAAGCAAAGTTTGAAAAAATATCAAGTTTGTCACAGTTTGCTACCTTGTTTTCTTCCATATGTGATATGCCCATTTTCTCACACTTTCTTTGGTGTTCTTTGAACATCAACAGAAATGTGATAATGTTCGGTACCTGTTGTAAATTTGGTCAGAGTGCACAAATTTCTTGTTCAATCAAAACTCTGTATTATCCCTCGCTTGCAAGACACTGCACTTGCATGTAAACCTAGATTCCTGACTGCTGCAAGAAACCTACATTCTAAGCTTGCAAAACACTGCACTTGTATGACCGCTACAAGAAAGCTAATTTTAAGTGCGATGCAAATCAAGCACGGAATCAAACAAAACATGTTGCTTAAGAAAGAAATATCACCGTGAAAACATAGCATACAGGCAGCTGAAATGCAAACCGAGGAGAAGTAATTTCGTGACAAGAACTTTCACAGAATGATACTTTTATCTTACACAGGGGCCTAAAAAATTCCAAAAGAACAATCAGACCACCACGTTAATATTTCAATGAGAGCACAAACCACCAGAACATCAATGCCTCTGAATTAAGCTAGTACAAGTGCTAAGCTCATGATCTGGATAACACACTTTTACCTCACAGAGCCTATTCTCTCTGGCAAAACATATTCTATTTCAATCAAATTTAGACGAGAACACAGAGAGGAATGTCTGTTACGGCCCCAAGTTTGCAATCCTAGGAGCTCAGGATACGTAGGTTGTTAGTTATCCTTGCAATAGAACAGTCACTGGGCTGTTGTTACTTTCCCCTGAAAAGCAAACATGAATAGCAAATACTAGGTAAGTATACGCCAAATAAAGCAAAAAAAAACTCAAATACAAAGGTAACTTGGTTTGCTTTTTTACTTACGTGTTCATCATTAGTGTAATGTTATCCCCTTTCAAGAGGATCCGACCTGCAAATGATTGAGGAGACAAATTATGGAGTTTTCACTAGTCTGAGAACAAAACAAAAAAATGGTAGCAGAGTACTCGTTTCATTACCGAGAGACTTCCTAGTGTTTTTCTTGATGTTGATCTCCTCAGCATCCTCCAAGACCAGATTCATGTATTCATCAAAGCCCTACAACACATGCTGCAGTAAGTATATAGTGTTTGTTTAAAATTCAACAATGTTTCTGGTCCACTTTGTTCAACGATGTCCATGTGGCTGTACAATGCCGATGTTTAGAGCTACTTTTCTTAATGTCAACACACGTCCGTTCAATCAGGTAAAAAACAAACAATCAAGAGGTGCCCAATGCATGAACAGGCACTCGGAGATTGCTACTTCTGTTCCGTTTGATATGTGCCAAATTGGATTACATGGAAATGCTACGAAGCACCGATACGGCAGAAATCTCTGTATCGCCGTCCCGTACGCCACCGATACCCCGATACGCCAGATACGGCTTAGATACGGGTATCCCAGAAGTATCCCTTTTTTGATTTAAAAAGAAAAGAAAAAAATGCCGATACGGCTGTGAAACGCGCGAGACACGGCTGGGACACGCCGAGGCAGCCCCGAGCGAGCCCAATAGCCCACGATGGGTCGACTAAACCTAGTTCTCTCGCACCCTGTCGTCACCACTCACCAGGAAGGGATCGAGGGCGCCACCGCCGCCGCCGCCACAACCATCAGTGGCTCGCCGCCGCCGCCGCCGCCGCCGCCTGGAGTGGCTCGCCGCCGCCGCCACCCCAACTTCCTGGAATCGCATCTCTGACTCTCTTCTGCTCTTCTCCGCCGGCGACACAAGGTAAACACCCGAGCCCCGATGTTGTACTGATGTATGGTTGATCCATTGATGTATGCTTGGGGCTTGTCTACTGCTGGCTTTATGTATCGTTGATCCGTTTATGTAGGCAGTAATAGCACTCTCATAGTCATAGCTCATAGGTGTATACTCTAGTAATACGATCTGTTCCTGCTAGCTAATGTTGGTTGGATAAAAGTGCTCGCTAAGGATGATGCTTGTTGGATAAAATTGCTAGTTGATGTTGCTGGCTTGCTGGTTGTTGATGTTTGTGGGGTAAAATTACTTGCTGATATTGCTGTTGCCTCCCATTGCTAGGGAAGAAGATACAAGCATACACCATGTCATCTGCGGGGAGTAGCCATTGAGAACTTTTGCATTATTTGTCTATGGCCATTGAGAATTTAGAATTGAAACTTGTTGGAGGCTGAGAACAAGGAAGTTTATATTCATTTCATCATTTGGTATGCTACTGCTACAAGCCAACTTGTTTACAACCTTTTCAATTTTCATGATTGTCTGTTTCATATTATCAAATCTACTATCATGTGATGTATTTTCTATTTTGCATACACCATGAGGAATTGAGGAGTCGAGGGCCTGGATGATCATTCAAAAGTGAAAAGAAAGAAGGCATGGAAGCAATCAGGCAATCAGTGAGGCGGTATTTTGATCTCATCTCACATATTCTATTATGTTGGTTTTATTACATGTCATTTTATTATTATCTATATATGCTTGCCGTATCGCCGTATTGCTGTTTCTAGAAATTGCCGTATCCCGTATCGCCGTACCCGTATCACCGTATCGGTGTCGCCGTATCGGTGCTACGTAGTGGAAATGCAGCAAGACAACTGCAATAACCTACATTCATGCCTGCCAGTTCCACATTTTTATTATATCTCCTCATGTGGCCATAGCAAAATTCAAGACAGGAGTGACACATCTTTCATCCGTCCATGTGGCCGCAACAAAATACTAGTAGTACCACATTTTTTCCATATACAGAGTGCAGAGCAACAATGGCCAGCAGCTTTAACAAGCTCACTCTTCCTCCCGAGGACAGAGAGCAGAAGCTCCCCTGAACTTCCCCCACACAGTGGAAGCCTTTCCGGCACCACCACCAGGGATCGTCTCCGGCACAAACACGGGATAAAATAAAATAAAAATCCCCAGCGGAATTAGAGACCACTTACGATGATCCTGCCCTCGATCCGCGCGTCCTTCTGCTCGAAGAGCCAGATCTGGATGCGCGCCTTCTGCTCGGGCGGAGGAAACGGGGTCAGCGAAACCGAGGCGCGAGCACGAGGAAAGAATGGGGGAGGAGGAGAAAGGGAGGGGCGTACGCTCTGGAGGAAGCGGAAGATGAGGTTGATGGGCTGGGTCATGATCCGCTGCACCTTGGTGGACGCCATGGCTGCCGCCGTCCGCGCTCCCCCTCGCCGACGAGCCCTGGGCCTGCAGGGTCCCCGGCGGAAGGGAAACCCTAGCGTGCTTTGCTTGCTTCCAGTTCCAGGAGGATGAAGTCGAGTCAGAACACGAGCAGAGCCAAGAGTGTCCCGGGCCGGAAGACTCCTAACAGGTCCACGTCTCCATTGATATTCTTTTTGAGGAAACTCTTCTTGTTTCCGAAAAGGGTTAACTCTTTCAAAATTTTGTTCACTTTCAATTTGTTTGCATCTCCAAATTTGTGCAGCGTATATCACAAAATGTTCAATGTAAATTTAAATATTGTTCAAGGTATATATGTTCAACGTGTATTTAAAAAATATTCAGTGTAAACTACAAAATGTTCACTTTATATTTAAAAATTGTTCAAAGTGGATTCAAATATGTTCAGCGTATATCAAAAAAATGTTCAGTGTGTATTTAACTTTTTTTAGAGTATGCAAAAACATCAATAAATTTGTTCATTGTATATAAAAATACTTATTTTTAATTTCAAATTTTTTCTATGTTTTAAATAATTGTTCATGTTGTCCCAAAATTGTTCAGGTTTTAAAAGTTTGTTTGAACTTGAAAATTTATTCACGATTTCAAACATTATGCAATATTTTAAGGAAAATTGTTCACATCTTTTCCCAAGAATTATGGAAATTAAAAAGAAACAGACACATTTTTTCCAATAAATATTGGAAATTACAAAAAAATCTGTGATTGCATGTACTACTTTAAATTTTGTGCTGCTAATTAGTTGTACTCGGTCGCTAGGTGGTGAAGTTGAATTGACATTTTGTTTTTGCACTAAAAGGACGAGCAAGCCCACACATGTGGTTTGGCCCATAACTAAGGTCAGCAAGCAATGGGCCACAAAACGGGCTTAGAGTCAATATACGTGAGGAGAGAAGCCACGTACGAAGGGATCGGAGGGATGCGTCAAGTCAGCGATCGGTAGCGACGGACGAAAAAAGTTAGCGTGGACAAAAAATAGTGGAAAAACAATCCGTCCTTTAATATTATGTGTAGATGTAGATGTAGATAGTAGTAGTTTTTTTTAGATGAGAATTTGGAGTAGATAAAATTTTCATTGCAAGAATATGAATATTCTGATATGTTGACCCGTGATTTATCTGCCCGCGTTAATATGATAGTAGTGTAAGTAAGTAGAAATTCCTGCCTGTGATATACCTACCTAACTAAAAACCGTTTGTTTGATAAAAAATTATTGGTTTAACAAAAAAAATATTTTTTTGCATCGAACAAAAAATATATTTGATAAGTCAATAAAAGGTGAGACAGTTAAGATATGTAGTTTCTAAGGAAAAATAACCAGAGATAGGAGTAAAAGTAAAAAGTAAATGAATAGAGGAAAGGAGAAGGGTGCGTATGTAAGGTTGGACGGAGCACTTTGTGTCTCATAAAATAACACATTTTTTAAAAGTAGTAGAGATAACATCCCCAGCATAAGTGCGTAGTCACCTTGGCTCATGACTCGTTTTATTAAAAATGTGAACAGATCAACTTGATAGTTAAACCATTATTATTAACTTATAAATATGGCTTTATTTGATAAATATGGTTCTTGATGTTTTTTTAGATAAAATCATAAGGGTCTGTCTAGGACACATCTAGATGTG